GCTGTACTTACACACAGCAGTGTACACACCGATGTTTAGCAAATGTCATGTTTATCATATATAATCGCTTAGTAAGGATGCTAAAAACACACAAACCAGACAAAAAGTGGGGGGATCCCCAGAGTTACGAGGATGTGTCACCTTGAAAACTTGTAGCAATGTCTCAGCGACCCACTTTGAACCACAAAGAGAAGTTGTCAGGGAATCATTAAGGTCCCTATTACTCATTCATTAGAGAGAATACATATCAGTTTAAAAGCTGCTGAGATTTTAAAGTATATTAGACAAACGACACAAGAGGCCTAATCTGTGTCACATCAAATGTCTTTTCAACATCACCAAACAAAGACCTGCAGCTACTTTTGCAGCAGAGTTTCATCATTCAGCATGACAAAACATGTCAGTAGACATTAGTGAAACCATTCCTTTCTTCTATATGCGCTTTTGTTTTTCTGGCTTCAGAGGAGTGGGAAGTCCCATTCGAGGAGATATCGGACCTGCAGTGGGTGGGCAGCGGAGCCCAGGGCGCCGTCTTCCTCGGTAGATTGCACGGGCAGGAAGTGGCTGTGAAGAAAGTGCGGAACATCAAAGAGACGGACATCAAGCACCTGCGGAAGCTCAAACATCCCAACATCATCACCTTCAGGTAAGCCGATGTGATCACTTGGCTTAGGTGGAAATAGAGGCTATCAATAATGGTTTCAGTCATTTTGAATAGGAAGAATGTTCTTTGATGGAATAAGATGAACATTTGGGCACTTAAGCTTTCATTTGTCTACATTTGTAAAGGCAAACAATGCAAATTCATACATAACCTTTCTTTACTCTGTCAGAGGTATCTGTACCCAGGCGCCTTGTTATTGTATCATCATGGAGTACTGCGCCCAGGGACAGCTGTACGAGGTGCTGAGAGCAGGGAGGAAGATCACGCCATCCCTGCTCATGGACTGGGCCATGGGCATCGCTGGAGGCATGAACTATCTTCACCTCCACAAAATCATCCACAGAGACCTCAAATCACCCAAGTGAGCTTTTTCTTTTTTTTATATATACATCTAAGTTTATTTATTTTTTTGTTTGTTTATAGTTTTGTGATTCGAATTTAAGGAACAGATGCCAAGAAAACAGGTCACGGAAGAGTTGTATTTAACCCTTAAGGACCCACAGTGACACTGGTGTCACTGCCCCTTTACACTTAGAGACTTGGTTATATATGATTCATTTGATATAAGACCCCCGTAATTTTCATGAAAGTAGAAATAGGTCTGGGCTCTTAAGGGTTAAATTTAAACCCAGTGTAAGTAATTCATAGCCAGGAATTGATCGGCTGGCAGATGAGATGCAAGCATGACGCCGTTTAATTTTTTTAATTTACATTTTAGTGCATTATAGAAACAGTGGAAGGGTGAAGAAGCAATGAAAGAGATGCAGTGGCTTCTAGATTAAAAGAAAAATAACAGAAGTGGGTCTTTCTCCATTCTGTTCGTTTTAAATAACCCACAAATGTTAACGCTTTACCCTTTGAAAACCTACTAGGAGAGGTTTTTGTCATATTTCAGACTTCTTATAAATCAAAACACTGGGTTTGCATCAAAATGGTAATCAAATATATAGCGCTTTACTAGTCCTTAAGGACCCCAAAGCGCTTTACACGT